GGGGGGGGGGGGGTTTACTACACATTCATAGATAGATTAGTGTTATTCTTTGTTCACAGTTCAGTTACTGAAAGTGTGTTTGGGACCTAGACAGTGGAGTTGTGGGTGTTTCATCATTAGAATCTTTTTATAAAATTTATAAGAACTGTATTATATGCATCGAGAAGAGAGATCTCATCAGGAAAACCAGTTAAAGAGTACTGTTTTTTTAGGAGATTTTTTTAAATGCACTTTGTGGGCAGAGAGTATTATTCTGTCTTAAAATTAAAAATCATATCAATTCTCTCCAGGAACCAGTTTGGGACTATGTAAACAAGGTTTAGTTCATCATTCTATAAAATTACAATCAAGAAAGTTACAATTACTCTACTTTGAAAGATGTCCACTGAAAATCCAAGTGATTTAGAGAGCATTTATGTTCTAATAGTTTCAGAATGCTCCAGTTCTAGTACTGAGTTCAGACTAGATTTAAGATTTTTCTCCCCAGTGGCATATACTGCAAATCCACTTGTGGAAATGCACCCTTAATGGCAGTCCATCCAAAAGAACATAATGCATGTGCTTTAAATGTACATTAGCCTATTTTCATGTACATGTGCTTGCAAATCCACATGAAAATAGGCCAAATACACCTTTTCCAGTACCTCACAATGGAGGTACTAGATTTAACATGCATTACCTAAAGCACATTAATGAACATATAGACACACCCCAAGAGACATTCAGAGGTAGCTTGCTGCATGTATAAACATTCAACCCATCACTTCTTTGAGTAAAGACAGACTAGGTATAGAATTTACTGAATGTCTGGAGTGTCCTCATGTTTCTAGGAGAACAGAGGTAATAGCTTCAAGAAATGACTATTAGAATTTAGTAGAGCAAGATTCTGAACTACAGCCTATTTAGAAGAGGCCAGCATAATCATTTGAGAGAGTCTCAGTCAACAGTTAATCATAAGCAGTGTAAGGCTAATGGTACTTCTGTGGTATTATCCTATAACTGGATTATAGTATCTAGAATAATTTTTAGAACAGTAGATCTAGTAAAATGGGACGAATGGAACACATTATACAGCAGTGTTAGCCATTTTTAAGTACTTACGCCAGCATCGTGGACAGCACTCTCCATCAGGAACAGTGGCATTGGAACAAGGCATGAGAGGACATGACACTTTCCGGCATATGGTGGCAGAGTTCTACAAATAAGAATTAAGCACATAAAAAAAAAAAAAATTTAAAAACTGGGAATTCTGGATTTTTAGCTGAAGAGTGCAAGAGAATCATGGCAGCGCTTAAAGAAAAAAAAAGATTTAATGTTAAATATAGTACATGGCTTCTTGTGGCTTAGAGCTAATACAGTAGCAGTATTTGTTCAGTCACTTGTAACAGTTTTCTCCCCAAGTTATTCTTCAATTATTTTTCAGTCAAGGGTGAAAGTGTTGTGGCTTTGGATAAGTTAACCAAGGGAAAAAACTGCCAAAATGTAGGAGTCAAACTTTATGGTAAAGTCAGACTTTAGAGAGAGAATGAACAAAGATTTTGAAGGTTTCTTGATTGTTTGTTTATCTGAATTTAAACTTAGTTATATGGGTAAAAGATAAAAGCAAAGTTAGTGGAGTTGGCTCAACCCCCCCTACCCAAACAATTCATAAGTTATACTTTGATGGTCTTGATCTGAGCCAAGAGACAGAACAAGAACATATACCTCATCTGAATGAGAACCAAAATGCAGTGTGCATTTTTGAATATTTTGTTTTTTAAAAAGGACAATAGCAACAGCTGGGTCACAGGGATAGCCTGGCTATTACAGGCATTTTCCCCACTATTTTCAAGTACAGTAATTCCTACATGTAGAAGGGTGGGGAGGATTATAATACCACCAACAGGATACAAGTTGGAAGCTTGTAAAGATCTACAAAACAAAAACACCCTCTTATTCAATATAGATCCTTGGCCAAAGCCAAGTACTGCATAGCTACAAATACATATCCATATACTTTTAATACTTAGCCTGTGCTTTCCAAATTGAAGTAGAAGACTTGATGTGGTAGATCTGTACCCCAAAATATATTTTAAGCCAAATGTATAAATAAGATTGAGTAAGATCATACAAGGAGCTTGAAAGCCAAGTGTGAAAAATTACATTTAGCATATCTTACAACACTCCACTGGAACAGGGCATGAAACTAGCAGTTAAGCATATGACATAGGAACTCTTTGCAGGCCTCAAACAAAAAAAACAACCCCTAAACTGAATGCAATTCAGTTTGGGGTTTTTTTGAGTCAGACTTTTCTTTCAATACATCTGGTTTTCCTGCAAATGGAAAAGATGCTTGCCTATTAAGTCAGAAAACAGTGCATTTTGAGGACAGAATCTGGAACCAGAGTATTTAAGGAAGGAAGCAAGCAAGCATAGTAGCTGCTATAAAATTGGTTTTGTGTAAATATACAGGCGTTTCCCAGATTACTAAAATAGATATGGTAGTGTACCACTGCATCAGTTTGGTATACTAGCATACTCCACCTCTAAAAATGTGTCTTTAGAATCAGCATATGAAAGCCACATTTATAGCACAAGCAAATACATTACTGGTTGAAGATGAAGTGAGTCTATTTTGGATTAGGATTCACTTTTACACAATGAGTGTCATTTAGGCAGATGTTGCCAATGCCAAAGCATACTGAGACTATGAATTTTGAAAGTCTTTACCTGGCAAGTACATTCAGTGCAGCTGTCAATAGTCCACTCTTCTTTATTTTTGTGCAGAATTCCATTGTGAATGCACACCCCAGGAGTGATCTGGGCTACTTTGGCAATGAATTCATTTTCTTCAGTCTTAGTGAAAGAAAAAGAGACAGAGACTAGGGACAGAAGTAACACATAGGGCATACTTACACTAAATGTTTGCTGCAGAATTGACTAATTAGCCCTGCAATAAAGTGTCTCACATCTGCACATGCAGTGCTATTAGACAGGAGTAAACTAACCAACTCTGCAGCAGTAAAAGCAAGTAACATCCTGCTGTGGCAGGAGTTTTTTTCCCCCCTTTCACAGCAACTCATGTTTAGATGGAGGGGCTGGCTGGGGCACACATGTGCTTCAGTGTTGGGACTGCCTACTAGCCAACCCTGCACTGGAGCACCCTTGTGCCACAGCCAACCCTTCTGCAGCATGTTGAGCTGGGCTGGAGCAGCCCCAGGCTGACTCCCTGGGCCCCCTGCCAGCCAGAGCTGCTCCATCTCGGCTCAACATGCTGTGCTCCCAGGCATGCACGTACATGTGGCACCCATGAAGCAAGCAAAAGCTTTTGCTTCAACTTAACTGCACATCATGATGTGCCCATAAACCAGTATAAGTGTTTGTAAACAAGTTCAAATCTGTAAACAAAAGGAGTTCAGTGCATACAGATTGCTTTCAAAGAAGTGTCTGAAACTGGTTTAACTGGTTGGATGCATGTGAACTGATTTAGGTTAAAATCCGTTTATTGAACTTGAAAGAGGAGATCTGGGACAGAAGTTAACTCACAGTTCTTAAGCATCCCAGGATGCTTTGCACTTTCCTGGTGAACCCCTCCCCACCCTTGCAGGGTGGGCGGGCTAGCCTTTGCCCAAGCTCTCTGCTCCAGCCAAGCAGGGAGGCATGCTCTAGCACCCCCCCCAGTTTCTGGCCTGGGCCACTGCAGGCAGGCAGCTACATTTCCCGAATCAAAAGTGAATCTGTTCACTTGCTTATCAGTTCAATCTATGGAGCTTAGACTAACTTGCAAAGATTGAATTGATTTGGTCTTGGGCTTTTTGACTACCTGTACTTGGCCTAGGGGTGCTTTCTGTGCTAAGTTTTACTTTCAGCTTCACTAGATGTGTTGGGGGGGGGGCGCAGGGAAGAGATTGACTGACTTATAAGGCTCGAATAAACAATTTCACTTACTAAATCCTACTTTCTGGAAATGGTTTTGAATGCAGTTGGCACTTACCACTTTGCGCACTCTGTCTTGAAGAGTTGTAACCATGGACCGTAATCCTTGCAATTCCACAAACATATTTGTGAGTTCATCACAGGAAAAGCCACAGATGGCCTGGATGTCCTTTGTTTTGTGGCCAATATAGTTGGTACGTATAGCTGGACTGGAGCCGTTGATTGGATTGTCCAATGTAATGATAGCACTAGTGGCTAAAATAATAATAAAATTAAAAAGACCCCAATGTACACCACACAAGAGAGAGGCATTTTCACTGTCTGTATTGCTGGAAGGATGCCTACCACTCGCTAACACAACTGTGTCTCCAGGTTCATTTGTCTCTCTACAGGAAATAATTTTTTAAAATGCAATTCTGGTTTGCATTTCAACCTACATTTAAAATTCTAGTCTCAGTTCATCTTGCTATTATACCAAGGGATCCTATTCTCAATAGGGCATAGATTCAAACAGTTGTATACTTACAACTTGAACAACCTTTATTCCTCAGGATGGCTTCCAGGGTTGTTCCAAAGACAAAACGCACATTCTGCAGTGCTCCCTGTGTGGAGAAGAAGAATTATGGCTTTTTTCTTTAAAAAAAGAAAGAAACAAAACCACAAAAACACACACACTCCTTCCTGTAAAGAGATGTGTGTGTTTGAGGAAATCAGCAATTATGTCAACATTTTGCTTGTAGTGATCAGATATTAGTAAAGTTAGTTGGAAGTTAGCCAGAAATATAGACATAAGCCATACTTCTGGGAGAAAAAAAGCCCCAGAGTCAGGAAAAAAAAAAATGTAACTCCCTGGACAAATTATGTCCTCTTCTCCTTTCTTATATTTCTAGGGTTTGAGCATTCATATACTTAAATTGGTTAGTTGGCTATGTATTTTTTTCAGAAGCTTCAAGCCCTAGATTTGCCTTAGGAGACTGACCTCTAAGAAACCTTAGCATGTAAGCATTCAAGAAGATTTAGAAACTGTTAGTGGACAACTTATTACACAAGCCATAAGTGGCTGCATGCCTTCCATTCTCTTTGGCAGGCTTCTGTACGAGTCAAAGTTGGTTGCATGTCTATTATGCTTTTAAGAAATCCCCTTTTGGGGAGGAGGAATATGCTGATGACCAACACATGGCAGAAGAAATCTTACCTGGAAGTTGTCATTGACTCCCCCCTTGGCAACGCGGAGCCTGGCACTGGTGGCCAGGTCCCTGGTGAAAATATTCTGAATGGGAATATCCAGCTCAGCATTCTCCATCTTCTCACACCCTACATAGAGCTGGGCACGGTCCTCCTGCACAAACAGGGTGATATTCTTCCAGTGCCCATCAGCCAGCATGACATCCTCCACTGACACGACCTGCTGCTTGCCATCGCCCGATAGGCTCAGGTCCAGGGTGTCTGCCTTGCCATTGGATACCAGGTTGAAGACATGGCCAGAGCCATCCTTGCGCTCCACAGCCAGCAGTGCGCCACGGCTCTTTTTGGGCTGCCGGAGATTGGCCAGCAGAATAAAGCCCTTCTCAGCATAGATGGCATCCAGCAGGTCTTGGAACTTGTCATCAGAGACAGCAGGAATGCGGCTGGCATCCTCAATGCGGTAGGCAGGGCTTGAGATCTCAGCTCCCTTCACCAGATACACCCCTAGTGCCCGGCGCCCAGGTGCCTTACGAGTGATGCCAATGAGCTCAAAGAGGTCAAACACGCTATTATCATCTCCCCCGGACTCTGCAGAGAAACCAGGGCAAATATCATAAGTAAGGTGCCAACCAGCTGTGTAACCCCTGGGCAGCGGGAAGAATCTGAGGCAATTGAACGCTGCAAAACCAGCACAGTCCCATGACACACAATGTATCAGTAAAATGGGGGGGGGGCGCCAGAAATCGAGCAATGGGCATTGCAAAGAAAGAGAACCTTAAGTTCAGTCCATCATGGGAATGGGTGAGGGGGAAGCAGAAGGCAGGGATAACACTGGATTTCAGTCCCATGAACGAGCTACTGTGCCAAAGGGGCTTTTTTAGGGGTGCTGGTAGCACAGGAATGTCACTGAAACATTGATTAATGTATGAAGGACAGTGCAGTACCTCAGTGGGCTCTAACAGGGGGAAGTGCTCAGAGTGCCCACACCTACCAGAGCCCGTTCTAGACTGCAAAAGATCTCCCTCATCCGGCACAGCCATCCCAACAGCTACAGAGACTCGCTTTGTAGAATTCCCTACAGCCAGCGCTGGGACATCAGGCACCATAGGGATGGGACGAGCCTGACAGATTGTTTGCTTTAAGCTACCTCCTCAGCTACATCCTCACCCCCTAAATGATGTGGGAAGGTGGATAAGCCACAAGCTACTTTGAAATTCATGAGGGCTCAATACTTTGCCTGAAGAAGACAAGTTCTGGGAAGCGGGGGTTTTGCTGTTCCCAATTTGGATATTCCTCAGGTTAGACATTTTGGCGGTCAAGAGATTTCCTTTCATCCCTTCAAAGCCAGCACCAGACATCTCAGAAAGCTTGTTAAAAAAAAAAAAAGAAAGATCCCTGCCTGCTACTATCCACTAAATAAGTGCCAGATGCAGAATCATGCCAGCGCTCTTACCCGCAATCCGGTTGGCCTCACAGATGCCCAGCACGAGAAGGAGCACGAGTCCGCTGGACACCCCCATGGCAGAGCGCAGGGTCTCTAACCCACCTTGGAGAGAGCAGAAAGGGAAGAGTCACGGGGCCGTCCGTCCTCACACTGGAGAAGGGGGCAGGTGCGGAGGGCGCACGGGACGCGCAAAACACACTGGAAAGCTCCGAGCTGTCCAGGTAGGGGATGCCCAACAGCACCCGCGTACACAGCACACGTACAGGCTGACATCCTTCCCCTCTTTGCCTCGATTTTCTCGCCTCAGGAACGACCCGGGCGGGAGGCTGCTGAGCACTCACCTTCACACGGGAGAAAGAAGAGGCGATGAGATCCCAGATGCAGCGCAGCTCCCGCCTGCCCGCTCCCCGCCGCGGTACTGCCGGCTCCTGGCGCCGCGCTGGCCTTTAAGGGGTCGCTCGCATTCCTGAGGGCCCCGCGGGCCAATCAGCGGCGGGCGGGCAGGAAACGGGCCGGGCCGGGCTGAGGTGACCTCACGGCGCGGGAGTTGCGGGGCGCGCCAGCAACACCGGACACCCCGGGAAAGGCAGTGGGGGGCGGGCCGGGGTCGCCTGCCCGCTCACCCGCCCCCAGGAGGATGCTGCCGGCCCCTCTCGGCCGGGGCTGCCCCGCG